CCCTCCCCGACCCCACCCCCCAAATCCCCCCTCACCCTCGGGGGTCTCCAGCAGCTCCCGAGCCCGTGCGCGCCCACCCAGGCCAGGACGAGCGCGAGGGTGAGGGGGGTGGGCAGGGCCGGGGCGGGGGTCCCCCAGCCCTCCCCCTCCCCCAGGCTCGCGCTCACGACCTCCACCAGCCCCAGCGGCAGCAGCAGCGTCAGAGCCCCCGCGCCTGGCGGGGCAGGGGTCGGCTGAGCCCCCACCCCCGCCAAAGGGACCCAGGGACGCCTCCCCCGCCCGAGGAAAGGGGCCCGGGTGCGGCCCCCTCCCCAAAAAGCGGACACCGGTCACTCCCCCCACCCCCCGCAGGCGGCCTGAGGGGCCGGGAGCCCCCAACAAGGGGTCCCCGGTGGGACCCCAGCCCCTCCCGGAACACGACCCGGGGCTCCGGACGCGCCTCCCCCAGCCCCTAAAAGGCTTCAGGAACCCCCTCCCTCACCCCCACCCCAAAATAGGGGACGCGGCCGTGCCCCCCCCTCGTTACCCCAGGGCCCCCCAAATTCCAGCTCGGGGGGAGGAGGGGCTCGGGGGGGCTCCATGGCCGGGGGAGGGCCGGGCCAGAGCGGGGGATTTGGGGAGGGGTCCGGGGGACCGGGCTCCGCCCCCGGGGGCGTGGCCTGTCCCCGTCACCGCGCCCCTCACACGGGTTACGTCACCGCGCCCCTCGGACGGGTTACGTCACCGCGCCCCTCGGACGGGTTACGTCACCGCGCCCCTCGGACCGGTTACGTCACCGCGCCCCTCGGACGGGTTACGTCACCGCGCCCCTCGGACGGGTTACGTCACCGCGCCCCTCGGACCGGTTACGTCACCGCGCCCCTCACACGGGTTACGTCACCACGCCGCGCGCCGATTGGCTGCAGACCGCCCCGCCCCGCTCTTAAAGAGACAGAGACCCCTTCCGGTGCTCCGTGACGTCACGAACACGTAATGACAGCAGCACGGCCACAGCAAAAACTCCGTTTAATGAACAGAGCGGGGAGGGGCAGCACACACGAAACGGGGCTCCCGGGGGTGCCCGGCACACCACGGGGACCTCACAGACCGCGGGGCCCCGGCACCGGGGGTGCCTCTCGCGGGGGTCCCTCACACCAGGACGGGGGGCTGTGCACGGGGGGTCCTACCCCGGGGGGCTCGAGGGTCTCAGGAGGGTCCCGCGAGCGTCTCTCTCACACGGGGGGGTCCCAGGGGTCCCCTGGGGGTCCCAGAGTCACTCCACAACGAGGTGGAACCGCTCGGCCTCCTCAAACTGGGCGTTCATGGAAGCGGCCCAGGCCTCGAGCTCTGACAGCTGGGGGGCAACGGGGAAAAGGGGGTCAGGG